GCGGCGGCACGGGTTCGATCTCGGGTCTGGTCAAGTGGGATTTGTGGTGGACAAAGTGGCGCTGGGGCAGGTTTTCTCCGAGTACTTCGGTTTCCCCTGCCAATCTTCATTCCACCAATTGGTCCACAATCACCCTCATCTATCATCTGGGGCTGGTAAAATAGGCCAGAAGTGGCCGCAGTGCAAGGGACTTAGTCCCACCCCACTGGCATTAAAAAAAAGTCCATATCTGCAGTTTTCTGCTTATTGGTGTCTGTTGTTTAGAATATGCATTGCAAAGCTGTTCCCGACACTCATTGCGTGGTTTTTATATCTTGCTTTTAATGACCTTCCTGTATTCCCTATATAGCATCTCTATCAGTCCGTGTATGTAAGGTTTTATATACCTGTATTTCCATATTTGTTTGTGTTTGGTGTTGTGTTGAGTGTGCTTCTAAGGGTGTTTGTTATTTTAAAGACAATTTCGATATATATTTGTATAAAAATGAATTTACAAATCTAAGATCAGATTACAGAGGAAATAAATAACCTCTTCGACATAGCTGTAAAGTACGGCGTCACGCATGCGCCTTTCAGTACATCCAACATTATAGCAATCCACTCTCCGCACCACAGTCCCGTACATAATGCTGACACAAGCAACTAACAGGACAACGAAGTATGAGATTCACTACTCATATATATTTGCGCTTTAAAGCCCAGTGGTTACTGTAAATACCACGTGATTTAACGTACAGAAACCTAGCATTCTGCCCACACAACTTATTTGCGTGTTCCATGTGGTTACCACAATAAACAGCGATTGTTTCTCTAAACGGCATTAACCGGCTGGGTTTTGTAGCGGAGACGTAATGTGTTTCCTGTGAAGTACGGAGTGAAATTTTGTATATTACTTAGAAGAAATGTAGGCTCTAAAGGGTTAATTATGGTAGAGGCATTGCGACGAGCTGATCACCCGCCCAAGGAGTCCTACCGAATGTGTAAGATCTAGAAAAACCGAAGTGAACGGAGAAGTTCATGGAGGTAGGTCTAGGCCCACTGGGGCTGTAGTGCCAAGGGAAAAAAGGGTTAATTATATAATGCATATTTTACAATATCATGTCGAGACTACCAAAATATCTCCGTCATGTTATACTTTAAGATGCTTTTTCTAATAAACAACACCATAAGGAGCCCAGCATCTTGTATGGAATAGACTATATGACCGGCAGTATGCTGTATATCAGGATGACCTAACGAATTAAAACTCCACTGTAAATAATTCTAAGATTTTTTTTATGTTGTAACTGTGAATCATGTTTTGAGATCTACAGCAAGTTTAAAGCTAACTTCCATTCATTGCAATGCCTCTACGGATGGTCCCAGATGCAGTGTACTGTGTAAGGCTCTGCATCTGATTTGGTCTATTCTATTAAATATCTTACACTGGATGGCTTATTATTCCAGTAATAAGTGTGACGTTGAGGATGTCACATACTAAAATATGTACATGAAGTTGTCGACTGAATACTTTGTTGGTGGATGAATTTGAAGGTCATCATCATTATCATCATCATCAGTAATCTGTCAGACGACAGGTCCACAGTCTATTCCAAAACAATTCCTCCACTTATTGCGATCTAGAGCTTTCTCCTTCAAATGACAGTATCCTCTTCTGTCCCCAAGGTCATACAGCATCTTCTTACGTCTTCTTCCTCGTCTTCTTGTCACTTCTATCCGCCCCTCTATCTTTCCTTCAATAACTTCTTTTAGAAGGCAGTTTCTGCGTAAAACATGACCAATCCAATTAGCCTTCCGTTTTCTTATTTCGTGTAGGATATTCCTCTGCTCACTGACTCTAATTAACACTTCTTCATTTCTCACATAATCGGTCCAACTGATCTTCTCCATCCTTCTCCAACACCACATTTCGAAACTTTCCAGATGTTTCTGAGCTACTGCCCTAAGTGTCCGTGTTTCAGCCCCATACAGAGCTATGCTCCAAATGTAGCATTTCACTAGTTTCTTCCTCAATGAATTTGAAGGTATCGAAAAAAAAATAGCAAATACGTGAGTGAGTGAACGACTGGAACGTGTCCCAGCGAACATTTCTCCTCCAAAATCTGACTGCAATTTAAGAGGATCTTAATATTGGTTATCTCTTTTCGAATATCTAAAGAGCTGTCCTAAGATTATTGCAGACTAGGGCAAAGTTGCAAAATCAATAATAGGTAAAAGAAATGCAATGTAGATTGGATTGAACTGGGCCAGCATCAAAGACAGCAGTTTCATTGCTGAGAAACAGAGCTTTGTGAGATTTGCAGAGAAATTAAACATGACATTCTCCTTGTATGGAACGCTTTATTGTTTGGTAGACAGAGACCTAGAAACTTCTCAGAGGAGCTGCTTCATTCATCCTCTTCCAAGTAAGTTCGGTCTGCTGTATTTAGGATGTGCTGACACTCCTGTAATCTCTGCTGTTTCTGTGCAGAGCCAAAAGGACCAGTTGCGCCGCAATTGAAGACCAAGAATCCACCTGTCGTAAGTGGTCGACGTGGAGAGGACATTGTGCTACCATGCGTTGCCCAAGGTTACCCACCCCCAAAATTTTGGTAAGTTATCGCTTTCTAATATTCCTTTCCACTGGAAATTATATTCTAATGCATTTCCTTGGTGGAATAAAAATATCAAAAATATCATTCTTGAGGTAGCCAAACAAAATAAGATTGAGGAGTACAGATTGGGTGAGCTCGGAGAAAAAGCAGTTGACGTACACGTCGGCCGATCCAGCCATCAGGGGGCTGTTTCTTCAGGAATATCGTGACATCATTGCGGAAATGGGGAGTCGGGCCAACTCGTTGGAACACATTTGGACACTTTAAACGAAAGAATAAGAAATATTGTTGGTAGATTTCTTTGTCATTTTATTAAAAAAACGGATTACCTAGGCGATTTGTACGTACAAGCAACAAACGGCCGCAAACTGGTCTTGGTTTGGATACCTGTCGCCTGATTTTAAAATTATCTGTGTTAGTTTTTCATAATAAACGTTTGAAATCCCAGAGGTCTGAGGTTATCATGGCTGTGAGTCGTTACATATTGTCATATGTTTAAGTGACTATAGTTGGGGTTTGAATTTGTAATTGGATTTATTAGACAACTAGCTGTACCCGGCCACGCGTTGCTGTTGCAGATCGAGTGAATTCAAAAGCTCTGTTGATAAGTAACCGCCTCATCTGCTTCCACAACAGTGTCGACGGACTTGTATGTGACTGCCTCGCAGTGAATGTTAGACTGAATGATATTGTTCAGTTCGTAGACGTCTTTGTTCTTGGCCGCAAGAATAGCTCGTTCACTCAGCCAATCGTGATTCTTATAATTGGTTTGAATATTGGGAAATACTTTTTCAACCAATTCTTCTTTTGACGTCACTAAATTGCAGAAGTTATGCGACAACGAAATTCGTNGGCTATGTCATTTTGGGATCGAATTGCTGCCAGAATCAATCTAATTAGGAACGTTTTACCAGTTCCTCCTGGCGCATCTAAGAAGAAGAATTCTGCAACCCCGTTATTGACAGTTTGCATTATTTGATCGAAAATGCCTTTTTGCTCAAGCGTTAGCTCAGGAATATTTGATTACACATACGACAAAAGATCACCCGTGTTGTAATTTTGTTCACAACGCAATTCACATTGAACAAAGCAGCAGCAGATCGATTCGGTGATGGCATTCCCAATTGATTGAGAACTTTGTTCGCGATTTCAAAGCACAAATCTTCAATCATTATCAACGCTTCGTTGCAGTTTTCTGCTGTGAAATCCATGTTCATATTGGAATTTTCCTTGCGTATTCGACGGAAAATATCTTCAGCCATGTGCGATTTATATTTCTTCCATAACTCTGTTGGAGATGAAGGAGAGCAGGAGGTCAATATGATTGCAAACAAGGCACGAATTTGATGTGGATGTGACGTGTTGCATGCGTCAGTAATGCATGTAGCGTGTTTGGGTATGTCACGCTACAAATAACTTTACGCCGTATTAATTATAGCGAATCTTTATTGTAATTCACTTGGACACTTCACGATTATCGCCACTTGCAGTATTAGAGTTACTGGTTACACAATCTCTCGGCCAATACTTCTGTATCTCTTGGCGTCTAGGTTCCAACTTTCTTCAGCGGCAGCTATTCCAAGACTGACTGGGCGAATGAATTCAACCCCCTTTTATACCCTCGGCCGCTGCTATGCAAATGAGCCCCTGTCATAACCGCGGAAACGCTGCTTTGTTGATTCCTCGATTCCTACGCAACGACCCATTGTTATTGCGTTGTCTCTGTGGGAACGCTCCGTGTATTCGTCGTAACCGTGGAGATTAGATACAGTATCGCTATTGTTACTTCCTATGCAACGGTCTGTTCTAGCGTTTCCATAGAAGTGACTCTTCTGAATTCCAAATTCCAATTCTGTTTTACAAAAGAAGCATGTTTTTACCTGTCACAAGTGTGATATCTATATAATAGGTATATAAAAACACGCGCGCATTCGAATGCAACGTTGTATCAAAATTTCGAAGCAATCGGTGAAGAACTTTCTGAGATTTAATATCGGTAACAAACGAACAGTTACATTTTTACTTATATAGATTGCAACTCGTAACTACAAGTAAGAGTAATGCTTTCACTGTTCTGCACACTTCACAAACCATTATAGGACACACTAGGTCATCTCAGTGTGTTACAAGTCTTCACTATCCATTGCTTGGCAGCGGCTTCCAACGGCAGACATTTCTCTTCCTCAACTACCAGGTTCTCACAGAAACAGCTCACAACGACTGAACCCCAGCGGTTATCTCACTAACTCATCAAGCAACTCACTCAACTCCACTCCACTGACTGACTGACTCCTCACTAATTTGTCCTGCTTATAATATCTCGGCACAAACTGCGCCGAAAACACCGTTGCTCTGTTGCTGTGCAATTTTTGATATCGTGTCTGTTGGGATGCCCACGTGATCGCTATTCAGCCATCGCCTAGCAACGGCCGTCGTTTGCAAAGGCATTGCTTAGGAACGGTCGTTGTATAGTTTGGCTGTCGTTGCCTAGCAACGGACCTACATGCCAAAATCTTGTCACGTGTATTAGTGACTAATAACGCGGGTTTGGTATTGGATAAACGGGTTTATTTACTCCATAACCACACCGCCACCGCCACCGCCACCGCCACCGCCATTGCTATCGCTGTGTCTGCACTTTATAATTCACTGTTACACAAACACACTAGCCCTCTCCTGGTAACGCAGTTAACACACAGGAATTATAACAGTCTCAATGAAGTACACACCATGCATATTACAGAGAAAGTCTTCTCTTCACAGCCTCACTCTTTTAACTGCACTGCACTCCCGTGCAGAATTGAATACTCAAGTCTTCCATGACGGCTTTGTGTCCTTGACTCGTGGCTTCTCTGCAGCGATTGCTGGCAAAGTCAAGGTCAAAGTTACTTTACAACGGCCAGTTTACTGCCAATCAGTTTTTCTTAGCATCAGGCCCCTTGAGACCAACGACCAGAGATTTTTTATTCAACTGAAATCTTGCGGTAATAGCCCTTATGTAACATCCTCTCTGACGAGTGGATGGGTTTGTCTCTTGTGAATACACTTGACCTTTCGTCAAGTGTACATTTCGCACATAAAACATGTCATTGACTAGAGGGTCAGTTTAATGTTAACGCTTAAACGCTCACTTCTGAGTAAGAGGTAGATTCTAGTAGATGTTCTGAAAGCCTTGGTTTCGATCACTTCTACGTGCAGTCTCCATGTAATCTTCTTATCGAAGATTACAACTAGATATTTTACATGATTGACAAAAGGGATCTTCTTTCCATTTTTTGTTGTTCCCCTATAGACATTCGGCACGAACAACTCATAGAAAATACCCATTATTGTAGACGTGTTTAAAGTTCTGTTGCACAGCACTGGGCATGGCGCGGACCACATTGAAAACACAAGCCATGCGATTGCTATCTCGCCAATCCATTGGCGCTCTCACTCCTGCCTAGCAAGGAGCTATAACGTTAGTCCTGTTGTTGCTTGTGCGTATCGCGAGGTTTTTATCGAGCCGTTTCCTGGTAGTGCGTTTATATGTCACAGTATGTTACATTCTTGTACGATGTGACGTGGTATATTCGTAGTTTCTTAGGAAACTTAGTGTTTCCCATTTCTACTCTGAAGATAGAGGCAGCAGATTACTTCAATATAGTATCTACCATACTGTTGTAGATCGCGGTGAAAGTGCCGGTCTAGGTCTACCCCTTACTCATTCATTCATTCACCAAACTAAACCATATCACATCCCAGAAGACCATAAGTTTAATATTTGAAATTACTCAGGTCGTTTGAAGAGACAGGATAGCGCATTCGGTATAGCGACTGGTTACGGACTGGAGGACATAGAGATCGGAGTTCGAGTCCTGGTGGAGTCAGGAATTTTCTGCTCGCCATGTCGTCCAGACTGACTCTTGGGCCACTGAGACTCCTATCAAATGTGTATTGGGAGCTTTTTCCTCGGGGATAAAGCTGCAGGGGCGTGAAGCTGACCACTCACCTCCAACTAGTGCCAAGGTCAAGAAAATGTGGATCTTTACATCCATCCCCTCCCCCCTTCGCCTTCATGGCGTAGTGCTTGATTAGTTAAGCGAAGGGACAACTTTACCTTTACTCAGATCGTTTGTAATCGCCACGTTTAAAAGGGATCTTGAAGAATAAGAAGAGGAGAGGTTATGATTTATTTTCAGTGTACTAGATCTGCTTGGAAGGGATCCGTTACAGAAGTTTATTAGAGTTTACAGGCAGCTGGTTACCAGTGATCCTGACTGGTGCCTTTGGTGGCTGTGCTTATTTTCTTCAGCCCCTTGATGAACCACTCCTTCCAAAATCTGACGTATTGGCCACACGTGAATATTTTCTAGTACCACAATACACACAGGTGGTTTCGCAAAGACTCTGATGGCCTTTTGGAGCCTCTACGAGCAAGCCTCGGCGGCTCCTTGTCACTTCGCAGCGTGCAGCCGACAGATGCAGGAGTCTACATGTGTGTGGCCAACAGCAGTGTAGGCTCAGTGAGTCAGGAAGTCCGAGTTCGCGTTCTTCCGGAAGTCGGTGCTCACATCGTCCCGGCGAGTATGCAGGTGGACGCCGGGGCACGAGCCGAGTTCTCCTGCGTCACAGCAGCAGGGCACGTAAGTACTCATTTCGTGCCTCCCGGCCTGTCTCAGGAAACTGGCAGTTACTCAAGAAATTCCATGCCTTTCATCAAGCCAGAAGCTAATTAATTGTATTTGGCATAAGGAAAAATTGCCTGATCAGTGGAAGGAGTCTATTATTGTACCAGTTCACAAGAAGGAGGATAAAACTGACTGTAGTAATTATCGGGGGATATCACTGCTATCAACTTCATACAAAATTTTATCCAATATTCATCTCTCAAGGTTAAGTCCATATATAGATGAAATTATTGGGGATCATCAGTGTGCGTTTCGACGTAACAGATCAACTACAGATCAGATCTTTTGCATTCGTCAGATATTGGAGAAAAAATGATAGTACAATGAAACAGTTCACGAGCTATTTGTAGACTTCAAGAAAGCCTATGATTCAGTTAGGAGGGAAGTATTGTACAATATTCTGATAGAGTTTGGGGTACCCATGAAACTAGTTAGGCTGATTAAAATGTGTTTAAACGAAATGTATAGTAAAGTCCGTGTAGGTAAACATTTGTCTGATAAATTTCCTATCCAGAATGGTCTAAACAAGGACATGTTTTTCGCCACCAGGTGGGACTGATATTAAATGAGACACATCGGCTGTTGGTCTATGCCGATGAAGTGAATCTACTGGGTGATAATGTAGATACCATAAAGAAAAGCACATAAACTTTAATTGACGCAAATAAGGAGGTTGGTCTGGAAGTAAACACAGAGAAAACTACGAGTAAATATGTGTTGCTGTCTCGTCACCAAAAGGCAGGGCAAAATCATGACACAAAGATAGGTAACAGATGATTTGAAAATGTGGCACTGCTCAGATATTTGGAAATGACTATAACAAATCAACACCTGATCCAAGAGGGAATTAAGAGGTGATTCAACTTGGGTAATGCTTGCTACCATTCCGTCCAGAACTTTTTGTCTCCTCGTCTGCTGTCCAAAAACATAAAAATTAGAATATATAAAACTATAATTTACCGTGGTTTTCTATGCGTGTGAAACCTGGTCTGTGACTTTAAGGAAGGAAGATAGACTGAGGGTTTTTGAGAACAGGGTGCTGAGGAGAATATTTGGCCCAAGAGAGATGAAGTGACAGGGGGTTGGAGAAAACTGCTTAATGAGGAGCTTTATAACTTGTACTTTTCTCCAAGTATAATTAGAATAATAAAGTCAAGGATAATGAGATGGGCAGAGCATGTAGCACGAATGGGGAGACGAAGAATGCATATAAAATGTTGGTGGGAAAGCCGGAAGGTAGGAGACCACTGGGAAAACCAAGACGTAGGTGAGTGGACGATATGAAAATTGATCTGAGAGAGATAGGATGGGATGGTATAGATTAGAGTGATCTGGCTCAGGATAGGGACCAGTGGAGGGCTCTTGTCAACACGGTAATGAACTTTAGGGTTCCATATAATGCTGAAAAGTTCTTGAGTAGCTTCTTCAGATGTGTCGCACTATTATCCTTTATAACGAACGTCGTGACGTCCATTGTAGAAATAAACAAGAGAGGCGAATGCTACGCTTTCTTCTGGCTCCATTGCAGACAAAAGAACTACCCACCGCATTCTACAACTGTGTTGTGTCCTCAGCAACGCTCGTTACAACGGACGCATTTTGTGCGCTCGTTTTGCCCCAGCCTAAGACATGAACCGTCTTCGCCCGCTCGAACTCTGGGATCGTGGTTTCGAATTCCACTTGAGGCATGGATGTCTGTATGCGTTTCTTCTGTTTTTGTGTTCTTCTGATTGCAAGTAGCGGCCTTTTGACGGGCTGATCACCCTTCCAAGGAGTCCTACCGGCTGTGTGTAGGGTTAAGAATCTGAAAATGCGGCCAAGGTCTAGCGGGTTATGGAGCCATAGAAAAAAGAAGAAAATATATAATATCCTTTAAAGTGTATAATTATGAAGATCCTCACTGCTTAATTTACTCCAGTTTTCTGTCACTTTCTCTCCTCGATCCAAATGTTCTCTTCAGCACCCTGTTCTCAAATTCTCGCAATGTGTGTTCTTCGTTTTATTGTGAGAGACTAAATTCACATCCGTACAAAACAACATGTGTAATTGCAGTTTTGTGTGACTTGGCGTCTTCAGATGGCCGACAACAAGCATTATCGAAATTGAATCCGACGTTAATACCCTACATTCTTGCATGGGATTCTGATTTATTATTTTGTACATAAATATTTTAAGTTCATAATGTCACGTGCAAGGGGTACGTCTGACAAAAGTAACGGGTTCTAGTTCGGATGATTAGATTTGCCAGCACTTCGGTTACAACCTCCCTTAATTACAATCAGTACAGCGCTATCGTTGATTTACACGCTTTCTAGTTGCACTGTTGCACACGCACTAGGATTCTCCATCTTCACTAGTCGTCTGAATACAGGAACTAACATTTCAAATCGATATGAAGTCTTCTTCGACCAAATTCTCTAATTCTCTCTCTCAAATTCGCTGTACGACCGGAATCTCCTGTAACTGCTGTGTGTCGCTGTATTCCCATTCTATTGCTGCTCTACTTCTTACAAACTGGATTCCTAATAGTGGAGACTCGGCACGGACACACATATCACGTGATCACTACGCGGTGTGACGTCGTTGCGCATGCACAAGCTGCTCTGACACAAAGAAAACACTGCTGCTGTATTGTTGGCTCATGTGTGTTACGGGCGGTGGCTAGCAATGGATTTACATGTATTTTCAAATGATATATTAGCTACCTTTTTGTAAAAGTTTCATCTAGCATTTTGCCAAAGACACATCAACGCATACCTTTACTGCAGTATTGCATTTAATACTGCGTGTAAAGTATGTATGTACCTCGTTATTTCATGGTCCCAGCTTGAAATTCGGAGTTGTCGCTTTCATACCACCAGACGAAATTACTCATTGCATTAGAATTTAGACTTGCGTTTGAACGCTGATTTTGTCACAGCAAATATTGCTGTTTTACACAGTTCATGTTTTATCGAAGTTTTAATATGCCTAAATGTTATCAAATTTGACAAGAGCTTAGGATTTAAAAGGCTAGTCATGATATTTTCTGCGTATAAAATATCTAGGAACAATCCATTAAACGTAATTATTACAGTTCTGATTATTTAACAGTGTATAGAAATATAAACATTTTTTCCCCTCCCCCAGATAATTTGGCTGAAAGATGGACAACGGGTGATCAGAGCAGAGGAGGGCTCGCAACATGGCGGAGCGCGACTGACTATCCCATCCGTTCAGCGTGAGGACCAAGGAATGTATCAGTGCATAGCGTCCAGTGACGGGGAGAGCGTCCAGGCAACGGCGGAATTGCGTCTCGGTGGTATGTACCAAATAATGAGGCAGTATAATTAGTAGGTACAGAATGAATTACCTAGATTCTATTCGCGACTGAGAATTTTTCCCCCTCTATCATGGTCAGGGGTCCAATCAGCCTTCAGTCAATAAGTAAAGTGAGTCGTAATGCTTTTGCTGATGGAGGGTCTTGCCTCGATGTTCATGGCTGCTGACTGATGAGGGTGGTGGTTGCCGGACGGTTGGATGTCTGTGGAAGTTTCTTAAAATAACATAACAGTGAAGTCTCCAGAATCCACTGGCTCCTCCTTTCGCGAAAGATTTCTCTGTAGCATGCGATTCTGTTTGATAGCATTTCACCCAGAAGAGAACTTCTTTCAAAATTTGAGCCTGTCCCTCAAACCCTGCCGCTGCTTTATCACAGGCCTGCTTTCGGCCTATCTCCGCTTTCGAAATGCATTCTTCACTGTTTGTGTTGTCCTGTGTGCATGTAGTGGCCTTGCGACGGGCTGATCCCCTGTTCAAGGAGTCATTCAGTCTGTATAAAATAGGTTACAAAACTGAAGAAGAGGCGAGGGACCAACAAAAGGCTGTAGAGCCACTGTTGAATGAATGAATAAATTTAAAGAGAGACCCCTATGACTGGGCGCTTTCGCTATTACCAATAAATATATTCTTAACAGAAAACAGTTCTCATTAAATTAATGCATTATAAGCTTGTGGCAGGCCAGTTATATCCGTCCAACTGCTGTAATACTCGTATTTGCTGTATCAACTATGTACATATTCGTTTCAGTAGTCTACCGAAATTCATTGGAATCAATTAACCCTTTTCAACATAACGGACTGTTTAACTGATTTACGGATGGGGAGAGGAAATGGAATGAAATAAATATTCGTGCAAATAAATGACAGTAATCAGTTGAGACAGCCTCTCTGATTCTGCCTCCTGGCTTCGCAATCACGAAGTGAATTAGTTATCAGACACCAACAGAACAAATTGGCCCAGTGGTAATGTGTTTGGTTTGTATTGTGTAAATAAGAGATTTGAGTATCTTCTGACACGGGCTGTGGTGACACTCGGTCGTGAGTCTAACTGCATATACGCGGTTCCTAATTATCCTTTCACTTCATTCGACATGAAACAAATTCTGCATTTAATGCCATGTCGGTAAGTTCCATAGAAAACAAACGGGTAGAGAAACATAGAAGTAGCTACAAACTCCGTGGAGCAGAGCCATATTGGAGAAGTTTATAATCTGTGGACTATAAGAGAAGTCATAACTTTTTTTATAAACCCGAATATTCATAAACATTTTCATAAAAATACGCTACTGGGTCCCATTCTAAGCCACACGAACCCAGTCTAAACCTTCAGAGCGCGAAAGAGAGGTGAAAGTATAGTAAAAGATTAAGTGAAAGTGAGAAATCATGGAAAAGAGAAAGAGGGAGAAAAACGTAGCTTTCTACAAGGTTCCCACTCGTCTTCCTGCTAAGAAGAGGGTGAAAGTAAAGACGTTAGAATGGTTAGAAGTAGTAGCTTCAGAGAGGGGCAGGGGAAATTTCATTTTCCGAATTAATGTCGAGCTGTATAATTTGGAAATCAAATTTTAATGGCTTTTACAGCACTGGGACTTATGAACTTAAGTTGGGAGGGCTGCTCGAGAGGCACGCAGTAGCAACTTGGAACTTGTGAACTATCTCAGCATTTGCTTGAAGACAGAAGAACCAAGGAAACCCGTGTCGAGACGGTTGGTCTCAGGACCCCCTGGCAGCATAGGAACATCTAGCAGCGAGTTCGGCAAACGAAATCCTTCAATCTGTTTTTTAACCCTTTCAGTTCAATTCTTACCTCACGGTGAACACACTAGGTCGCCGATTGAAAGAATAGTGGGCTAATACTATTAAGCGAAATTGTCGATTTTTTATTCTGAGAATCATAAATAGCTGATAAAAATACTGTGACGTATATACCCATTGATAGGCAACGACTCGACAAACACATTCCCGCGGAAGCAAACGCACACGATAATAGGACTTCTGTTTCTAGGCAACGGATCAGTAAGCACATACCCATAACAGTAGAGGTAGCGTTTTCTGCGTGGTCCCTGCGAAGTGGTTATAAAGAAGTGTTCGGCAGTATAGAACAGTACTCGAGAAGTGAAGAGTCGGGTTTCGGGACGTCAGCCTGCCGGGATATGAACTTGGGAGCAGAGGAATTGAATTGAGTTGGCAGTTGCAGAATAATGGTAAGAAAGGAGTTAGGTTGTATAAGAAAGACGTCGTATGTGATATGAAGTCACAGTGAGACTTATAAATCCGTTGCCAGGATACGACTAGTGAAGACTAAGAACCCTAGTGCGTGCGTAACTGTGAACTGTTAAGTCTGTAGAATAGCGATAGCGCTGTATTGTCTGTAGTCCCGAGTTGTGAATATACGTGTATAAAGTACACTGAATCCAGTCATCAATCCAAAACTCGTCTTATAAATGACCCCTACATGTGATAAGACTCTCTTGGGAAAGTCAGAGCGGTTGGCATGGCTGAGCTTTTTAGGATTAGTATTGTGTCACGTGCAGGGGGTACGCATGACGAAATGACGGGTCCTAGTTCGGATGATTGGATTTATTAGCAGCTTGGTTACACACTCTCTATTGCACGCACACACTAGTCCTCTCCCGGTAACGTATCTCAACACAGAAATTAACGTCTGTGTATAACACAGTCCATCAATAATGCAACAGATTGTTCCTTTCTCTTCCACTTACACTTTAACACACGTTTCGACCTTAGATGGCCATCTTCAGGTGTCTTGATGTATTAAAACTGCTATACTGCAGTAATATGCGCTGAAATCACACGCTGTAGTGCACTTAATAAAATAAAATAACAAATTAAAATTTCTAATAAAATTTTCATTACTTTGGTTAAATTCCATTCCACCTCAAAAGGAGTGCCGTCCATTTGTTTAGAACTATGTGTTTTGTTTCAGCAGCTTGTTCTTTATGTCCTTAACCCTTTGTTCTATTACGTCAGCAATCTCTAATATGACGTATGCCCCTTGTTTGTGCGTTGCTCCCTCTAGCAGCGTGTGGTGTTGTCTGACCTAATGCACTAGTGCTGTGGAAGAGAAAGGAACAATTTGTTGCATTATTGATGGACTGTGTTATAGCTAGACGTTTTAATATGGCTTGCAACAGGTTCCTTAAATACAGAATTACGGAAATTAGCGCTTTAAATCACCCCAAATATTGCACATAGGTCTTCAAATCACACTTTAAATTTTCACAGGTCTTCTACGAATTTGTCGTTGCTGTCACTTTTAGTGTTAATTAAATACACTCTAACACTCTCAGAAACTCACCTCTGTTATTCAAGTCAGAGTCAAAGTCACATTGCGACTGACGGTCAGTCAGTCAGTCAGTAATTCTTGATGTCGAGCCCCATCTGGGGCTTATGACCAGATATTTATTGCTGTTTGACAGTTACAGTCTTGTTTTCGTGGAACGCCCTCTCTGACGAGAGGATTGCTCTGTATTTTGTATATGCTGCTGGCCCTTGCCAGCGCAATATTTTCGTGTCCGAGTCCCTTGGGATNCCTCTCTGACGAGAGGATTGCTCTGTATTTTGTATATGCTGCTGGCTCTTGCCAGCGCAGTCTTTTTCGTGTCCGAGTCCCTTGGGATTCGTGATCATATTTTACTGTCTCAGATTTGAGACTTCCCTTTTCGTCGCCTCCTACGACTCGCAGGTTTACGGTGGAGGTATTCGACCCCGCCTCCACACGGGTGACTCCCTTTATTACTGTTGAACGTTACGGTTTTGTTCTTTGTGGGGCTACCTCTCTGACTAGAGGACGGGTCTGTCTTTTGTATATGCTGCTGGCCCTTGCCAGCGCAGTCTTTTTCGTGTCCGAGTCCCTTGGGATTCGTGATCATATTTTACTGTCTCAGATTTGAGACTTCCCTTTTCGTCGCCTCCTACGACTCGCAGGGTCACGGTGAAGGTATTCGAACCCCCCTCCACACGGGCCACCCCCCTGTTCAAAGTCAGAGTCAGAGTCATTTGACGACTGGCGGTTTACCGCCAAGCAGTTCCTATTGGCGTCAGGCCCCTTGAGGATCACGACCAGAGATTTTGATTTTCCAACTGAACTCCCACTGTTGCCTTGCGTGTATTCGGTCGCGAGGTATTTAACGGTCAGTCACCTAGCAACGCTGTGTCCATCCACTTTACAGTATAAATCCATATTATGTCCTCCCATCCATGCCTAGCTTTCCCGAATAGTCTTTTCCTTTCAGATTTACCAACTGAACTTAGGTACCCATTCCTCATTGCTATGCGTGCTACATGTCATGTCTATCTCAACCTCATTGATATCACCCAAATAATACGTCATGAAGAATATAGATTATTACGTTTATAAAACTTCATTAAATTGTAACGAATATCTAAACGGTAGCTTCATACGCGGTTGCTGCTAATTTGTGAAGCAATTCGTAGAGGTTCGCCGATCATTAACGTCCATGTAATTAAGTATAGTTCTAATGTTGACTGCTATGAACTGAAAGCCGCAACATTTGTGAGAACGAGGCTTTGAACCAAATAAATTGAAAGTCTCCCTCTGGTTAACCTCACCTCTGCTGTATAAAACTTTTGTTCTTACTTGGTCCGGCTGCAGCCCACCGACAGGAACGAATCACATAGCCCTCACCTGACCTGAACCTATAAATAAGCAAGGGAAGAGAAATGAAACTTCGTTTGTGCTTCCGGCTACGATGAGACATGCATTTATTGTGTGTATAAACACGATCCTCACCGGAAGGTGTCGCATAAGCCGAAGTGCAAAAAGATATCGGTGGTTCTCCTACTAAAAATAATACTGATTCATTTTGATCGTCATCATATATATTGCATTGTATATACCTCCACTCCCCAATACNGTTTGTGCTTCCGGCTACGATGAGACGTGCGTTTATTGTGTGTATAAACACGATCCTCACCGGAAGGTGTCGCATAAGCCAAAGT